ATTCAACAATTACAAAACAATCTTTGGTTTCAACTAATATTTTCTCATATTTTATCCTAACTATTAATAAGCTTAACTGCTTAATTACAGACTTTAAAATTATACAACTTACTTTAAATTTTGAAAACTTCTTCTTATAATTACCTATTTCTTACAGTATCTGTACAATATGTCATACACATATTTATGAATTATGGATTACACAAAACTGTTTTCAAAAATTACACAAAATCCTTAATCAAGTTAATTGGCAAGCTACCTGGCTATACATCAATAACAATCAAAAAATCTTAAACTTCTTGCACAGCTTTCAGTTCTCTACTTTTAAATCCTTTAGAATCAAAATTTTACTAGATAATCTTCCTACTCCACACATTTTACATAAATGATCTCACTTATACTCACCTACCTGTTACCAATGTCATCAAATCAGTTCTCATCTCTACTGAACAACCTATTATCTAATCAATTGCTATACAGCCTTATAGATATTTCATTACAACATACTTTAAACACTAAAACACTTAACACTACTTCAAATACTATAATCAATTTATACAACTAAATTAAGCTGTTGAATAGTATGACTATTTACAGCATACCAGATTTACCTTCAATCTTTTCAACTCTAACAGGTCTAATACCAAATGAACTTATTGACATTATTGCAAATCTGTCATCCAAAAAAGTAGCCACAACACTTGTTAACAAGTTTTTACTTTATCTTAACCAACAAATCTATCACAAAATCTTAATCCTATATTGTATCTCAAGATCTATAGCTCAAACTCCTAAATATAACACATCTTCAAATGCTGCCTTACTTTCATCACATTCTCTCTCACTTAATTTTATTAGTTCAAAAATAAACTTATTGTATATCTAATGGATTAAATATCAAACTAATCCTCTATACATAATTACTAACACTCAAATCTAAATGAGTCTTGGCCACTCTGGTTAGTTTAGGTCACAGATAAATTAGTCTGAGCTTTTATTCTTTCTATAATATTTTAAAAGCAGAATTGTATTTTATATAAAATCTTAATTAAATATTTAATAAATATAGAGGCATGGCCTCACCATTAATATTAAAAAAAAAAAAAATTATACAACTTATTAAATATATTGGCTAAATATTCTTAACTAATTCAACTTATAACATTCCTTATATCTTAAATAATAGAACCATCTCTCTTAAATCTCTTCTTTTTTTCTGTTCTAAATATCTTGTTTTTAAAAAACAACTTAGATATTACAAATTTCTTTTTCTTGACCAACTCACTACTTATAATAATTTATATTTATTATATTGATAACATATTTTTCTCAAACTAAACAACCTTTTTAAAGGTGTTATATCTTAATAATTTACTACTTTTGAGAACATTACTACAAGTTATTCCTATCAATACATATTATATAATTACTTTAATTTATCTTAAGCAAATTACTTTCTTATACTATTGATTACTTTAACTCTAATATCAAATCCTGGTTACTTGCTGTTCTTAACAATTAAATCATTGTTGTCAAGGCTAAAAGATATAACAGTCCTACAGACCTTATTTTTATTATTCATAGACATTGCTCATTCCAGTCACAGTTTTTTAATTTTTTTATAAATCTGATTATTAAACTATTTTGTCATATTAACTCTAACAAAACCCTTAACCTATATGCCAACTTTCTTGATATTGCATATTCTGTAACTATTTAACATCTTTTATATATTTTACTTTCTTCTTTATTAACAATCAACTTATAAAAATTACCTTGTATCTTTTAGTCAGGTTAACTTACTAACAGCTTACAGTCTATTGCTAACTATAATTATAATCTAATTACTATTTCATTTTATATTGACAGCTTTGTTATCAAGCTTGGTATATCTCAATACTCTATAGGCATAGACTGGGTTTAAGTTGATAATTCTGCAACTATTCACTCATTTTATATATAAGTTAAACTCTGGTCATGCTTCTTTAAAGCTAAAATTCTTGCTATTTTCTCAACAATTATTACTATTTCTAAAAACTGTTTTGTTTATATTTTTACTAATTCATAATTTGTAATCTTAAAATATTACAGTATCTGCTTATTAGTATCTAAACTCTTTCTCACCTATACTTTATACTTTTCTATTTGGTAAACTCTTATAACTTCATTAATTCATACAATATTTAGTTTACTTTTTACAAAGTTATTGCATACTAAGATAACCTATTTAATAATCTTAATAACTAACTTGCTTATAATTACCAAATACTAAGCTTTTTAATATTCTTAATTAACAACCCTTACAACTTTGACTATACTTCATTTATTGACTAATTTTTCTATTGAGATTCTAATTTGACACTCTATTTATACTATTTGTTAAGCTTATATTATAATACTTTGGATATCCTAACATCATTTTCAACAATAGTCTACTATTGTATCTAATATCAACTAAAAAAGCACATAGTTTTATATTAATAATAATCAAAAAGTTTCTAGCTTTGTTTATAACTTTTACTTCTTTACTTTAAAATTTTTTATATTAAAATTCTTTTGAATAAACTGTCTCTTATATTTTTCATAAATGTAACCTTTTTATTCTTTTTTTTGTCACTAATTCAATCAAACTAGTTCTTTATTACAGTTGACTCTTTGTCCTTCTACTCAAATAATTTACTACTTAATCTCTAATTCTTTTAATTTTATCTTAAATACAAATGCTCTTAACATGTTCACTAATTTTGTTTCTAATTTACATCAAGAAATCCTTATACTTAGTAGTTTTAAATTGCACAACTTTTCTTATATACTATCTTTTATTTTTACTTTATCTGATTTAGTTTTTATCAATCTTATTTCTACTATTCATAATACTTCTATTTCTTATTATATAGCTATTTTTCTTTTTATTAAATTTCTTCTTTATTTAAAACAAATATATAAACAAATATAGATCTAATATTGTATTTTATATTCTGCATAATCCTAAATTATATCTTCTACAAACTTAACTCATAATTCTTTTTCTAGTTTACTTCTACCTTCTATTTTAATATTATAAATTATTACTAAAATTGATCTTTGAACTATCCAATAGATTAAATATTATACTGCTCTTTTCTATATTATTACTAATACCTAAATCTAGGTGAGTCTTGGTCATTCTTGTAGGTTTAGGTTGCAGATTATATGTCTAAGTTTTTATTCTTCATATATAATTTAAAACAAGCTTTTTTTATAAAAACTTCAATTGAATTTCAATAAACTTAATGACATAACCTTACTGATAATATTTAAAAAAAAAAAGAATAGCAAAGAGTTATTTTTTCAGATAATTTAAAATTTAAAATTTTTTGGCTTGGATAAAAAAAAATAGTATTGGAAAGATTCAAATTCACCTTTATTACTGCAAAATATAAAACTAACAATAAATTTAGATAAAAAGTTCATAATAATATAAGAATATATAAATGTGTACAGTATTAGAAACTATTGTAGAATTTAGAAAAACATGAATAAAAAGTTGTATTATAAAATTCTAAAAGATTAATTTATAAAAACTTTGCAAACATGGTATTTAAAAATTGATAAGATTATTTTTTAATATAATAATTTACTGTAATACATATCAGATATAGTTACTAACTGGTTGGATAAGAATAGAATTGATGTTTGAATTGACCATTATACTCTTCTGACCTAAATTCTATTAAACATTTATGAGATAAAGCTGATTGTCATTTGTGACAACTTCTGATAATATCAGTAGTAGAACAGATTTGTGGAACAAATTCAAAAGATGTAAAATGAGATTGATGATAATTTTTGTATCAAGCTAATTGACATAATGTTGCAATAAATTAAGAATGTACTTAAAGCTAATGAAGAGTATACAGGATGATAAATTATATAAAAAAAATAATTTACTTAAATAAATTAAAAAAAATTATGTAATTGATTTTAGCTTTAACCAAAATTATTGTTTTTCAAAATTTGTGAAAATTTGGATTTTTTTAAAATAATAAATAAAAATGCTTATAAAATTTTTAATATTGTAAAAAAAAGTACTAGTTTTATACTATCTAAATTCTCTAATTATATGTTTTGTAAAATATAAAATATTGTAATTTAAAATTTTAAATAAAGTTAAACAATAATTATAAGAAACAGTGTAAATTTTATAAGTAAATTTCACTATTGAATCAAATGTAAAGTATATATATCTAAAGTATTTTCTTTCTAAGTAAACCATCTTTGAGGTTTTAAATAAAGTTATAGAGTTTATCAAAATGTATCTAATATTAATATAATTGGTAAATTTGTTTAGAAGTTATTAAGATATCTTCAAAAAATATTCTACTATTATAAAAAAGTTTAAAAAAAAATTTTAAAATATGATTTTGTAATAATCTATATATATTCATTTATATTAAAGATCATCTGAAATAAAACAATGTTTGATAAAAATCTAAACTTACAAACAATCTTAGTAAAATATGTTTACAATGTTTCTTCATCAAATTTAAATACAAATAGAAATGCATAACCACATATAGTAAAAATGGTCGGGCAAAAGTTAATCGTTAATAAATAAGTTTGTTAAGTTTACGTCATTTAGATCAATGGATCGTGCTGCTGTACTGTGTGGTTATGAGCTATGCTTGGATCTATCTAATCAGATATGGGCTGGATTTGGATCACAATATTTTAGTAATATTTTTGTTGAGCTGAATCTGAACTTGAAATATGCAGCACAGCACGGCCTATGCGGTCCATATAAACATGATATATTTTTTTATTAAAAACTTTAATCAAAACTCAAAAAAACCACTAAAATATATATCTTAGAAAACTTAAAAATCATGTGTTAATTTAGTATTACATTCAAAATTGTCTATATAAATTACACGCATTAAATTTTCAATTCATTATTATTCAGAAAGAACTTTACTTGCATAAACACGAACTATTTTATAATAAGTATCAAACTTCGCTACTTCATTTCCAGAAATTTTAGTCAACTCATCATATTCTTCATCAGAAAGTTGCAATTTTTTTGTTAAGATAGGTTTAAGAGAAGCATACGCGTCAATTAGATTGCTGAAAACCTATTAATTTAATAAAATATCAAATACTTCCAATTTTTTAAAATGATACATTTTGTATATAAAATACATTACCGCTTTACCAAGTTCGGCATCATTATAACAGCAATGTCTAATTTCTTTTTTGATATTTTCCAATTGACCTAATATAGAAAATATGCAATTGTCGTTATCATTAAATTAATATGATAATTTTATTTACAAAATCATACTGAAAATCATAAATATAATTAAAGAGACAAAACCTTGATTTTGGCAATATCCTTCTATATATTGATATAAATCAAAATTACAGCCTTGTTCTTTTAATACTTCGCATTCTTCATGATAATTGAATAAGCATTATGTAAGTGAAAATAAAGCTATCATAACAGTAAGATACATACCACAATCCCATAAACGTTTAGTAACTGGTCCTGCATTAAATGCACTAGAAGGTTCACATAACTTTTTTTTTAAAAAAAACAGAATGATTAAAATACAAGTTATTTAAATTAATAACACTCATAGGTATATCAAATTTCAAATATGCATACTTCTAAAAATCCACCTGGTTTTAAAACTCTGACCAATTCATTTACTACATCTTGACATTTCTCTATTACAAGACCAAATGTTAGAAATCTTTGGAACACAAAATCAAAAGTATTATCATCAAATGGTAATCTTTCATGAACATCTGCTCTAACAAATTCAAAATTTTTAGGTTTTATAGTAGTTGGTTGATGTGGAGATATATCTAATCCAACAACTTCAGCTAATGGATACCTAAGAAAACATTATAAAATTTAATAACATTAAAGAGCGAATCTATTTGTCGTCGGCAATGACAGATCAAAGCCAATCAGAATTCACTACTCAAAGATCTCAAAAATTTCGAAACAAAATAGCTCAAAATTATGCCTGTGAACCCAAATTTTGTGTCTTAACAAATAATATTTCTTGCATAATTTTACCGCATATAAAGACCTTTTCTAACTCTAAATATAACTCTAAACAAAATCCGGGTACTGTCACCGCTGGCGACAATTAGATTATTTTCAAAATTTAAAGCCAAAAATCAAAATGAATTATTATTCTCAATTATGCCACAAACATAGCGTACGTACGTGGTTGCAATATCAAAAGACCATGAACCTGCACCACACCTAAATAAAATAGACGTAAGGTTTTAATATAATGTTAATATTTTTAACAAAAAGATCTATTACATATCTCAATAAGTTGATTTAAAGTTTGAATTACAGTAAGATTAATAAAATTTTAAAGACGAGTCTAATTATGACAACCTGTTACGCATTTATTTGTAACAACTCGATCAATACAACCCATAAAAATAACTAAAAATTTGTGTAATCCAATCTAAACTCCAACTACTATTGGTTAATACAAGGTTGTTACATGTAACAGGTTGTTACGAGAACATTTATTCAAATTTTATATTATGAAAAATTATAATTTAAGAATTATTAAAAATATATATACGTTATGAACATATGTGGATCATGTAAATTTAATAGAAATTAAATTTTCTGTAACATTCTCATATTAAGAATAATTGATTATTTAAATATAATTACTTACCCAATATCGAGGATTTTGGCACCTGGTTTAGATAAAATGTCATTGATAGGAGCAGAAAAATTGCTTTGCCAGAGGTATCTTAACATGAAATGCTGTAAATGTAACCTGTCTATTTCGCTTTCGTCGTTTGGTAAATGATATTTAGAATTATCAACGTTATGGAATCTTCTGCCATCAATGTATCGAAATTCATTTTGTGTATTTTGCATACTTTGATTACTTTGAAAATCCATAGAATCGGTTCTTTTACTACATTTAGTGCAAACACATCCCATGGTGGTATTAATGTTTATAGTAAATCAAAATGGTTAAAGCAAATTGGAGATAGAAATTCGCTAACAAAGTTGATTTTTTTTTTTTAAAAAAAAAAAAAAGAAACAGTTGCGCTGAAATACTCAAATTTAAATAAATATTTATTGTATGAGTTCCATCAAGAATTATTTTACAAATTATTTGTATTAATCGATATATCAAGTAGTAATCCCAATATTAAATTAATAAGACAAGCAAACAAGATTGTAGCACGTACAATATATGAATTGGGATGGGGCGATGCAATAAGACAAACAAACAAGAATACAGTATGTGCAAAATATGAACAAGAGTGAGTTAATAAAAAGGATTGAAATAAATTCAATTTAATGCTTTAACATCGCCCTGCGCATAAATATACACTTGCGCAAATCTCATTTCAATAAATTTGCTATATGAAATAATAATAAAAATGCATGATTCGTATCATTTCCATAAAAGTTTCTCCTAACGATAAGAGATGATTGCTATATAAGGAAATTTTGACAAAATAAGTAAACAAGATATATTACATAATAATCAGGGTTGGTCAAATCACTGGTTGACCAAAATTTGTTGGTCGAACTGGCCTGGTTAAATTGGTCAAATAGTCTGGCCAAATTGGTCAAATGGTTTAGCCTATTAGATAAATTTTAATATACAAATAAATAAATAAATAAATAAATAAATAAATAAATATATATACTTTATATATTATTTGACCAATTTGACCAATACTAATTGATCAATCAGGTCAAACTGGTCTGGTCAAGCTTGATCATTGACCAGTCTGTGCCAACACTGATAATAATATACATTTTCGTGTGTAGTCAAATTTTGACTAGATCTGATTCAGATTGATTTCACTATTATTAAATATTGCTAAATCTCATATATTAATTTGTGAAGGTACAATCGGAAACGTTAAATTTATTCGAGTGATGCAATTGGAATCTACAAATTTCACTTCTATCAGGTTATGTGTAGTACTGGAATGGAATTTTCTTGAATCTCTTTTTGGTTTGGTATCATTTGCACAAATTTGCTTTATCTGTTATACATATGTAGCATATTATTATTATAAAATGCCGGAAATACATATCGTTATTTATACAAATAAGTGATACAAACTCAAAAAAGGAAAGTTAGACGCGGGACTGGTTCCGAGTCATACAAATATTAACAACCAACAAGTATTAACAACGACTAATTCTAAAATACTACACTTGGCCCGGGTAATTAAAATTCCGGATTAAAGGATTTCCCGATGTTCTATTCTATTACCCTGGCGATGGCGAAAAAAAACCTCCAGAAAAAATTTTCTGACACGTGATCATAGTCAATTAGATTTGGAGGGGAAGTCTACGGACACGTACAAGTCACGTGAAATAGCACGTACCCTAAACTACGGCTTTTAGGCGAAGCCTAGAGGTTTCGCCACTGGCGAAAGGCGAAACCTAGTTTCGACTTTCGCCAAAAAAAAATCAAAAAGACGAAATGGCGAAACTGGCGAAAACATAGCACAACAAAATTGTCCTGACAGATTCGGGTGCCCTTATGTCAAGCGAAAATCGACCTCCGACCTTAAAATTTCTGGTCTGGCACCAATGAAATCATGTGATCTCGTGTAACAAATCAAACAGCAAAAACAGCAATAAATTAAAAATTCTTAAATAGAGCCAAATTTTATTATGCCAACCAACTTCCAACTTCTAACTAAAAATGTTTAGCATTAAAATATACATATAGTGTTTACTCTATCACATAAAATATGGATAGAATACTTGGGATACTCCATCCCAAGTATTTGAACGGAAGGGTCCGATTTTTGCTTGACATAAGGTACCCGGAGATTCTTATTTATTTGCTAAGAGCGATGATAAAAAATTTTGCTGGAATTACGCAAAATTTTACTAATGTAATCACTGCCTCTCATTAAATGAAATTGTTTCTGGGCTAATTTTACCATTTGTGGGTTTATTTCTTTGAAATATCTATTTTGAGAATAAAAAAGTTAAAAAAACTTAATTCCGACCAGAAATTAGTAAACAGTTATGTAATGTGGGCCGAAATTTTGCAGATCCACGCAGTTAGCCAATCAAAATCGAGGATCTGAGGGATGACTACGTGATCTTATTGAAATTTTTTTTTGCAATTTAGTTTAGGGTTAGGGTCTCACCAGTAGGTTGATGTTTGTTTAAGGAATTATAGTTATAGTTAAATTAAGAGGAAAATTTTTTGTTATTACATAAAAAGCACTTTCATAGGCAAAATTTTGAGTTATGATTATTTTTTTGTTGTTTTGATTTTTGTGCAATTTTTGCATTACATAATATCTAAAATCTGATTGGTCTTGAAATTTTTTTTGACTAGTAATTTAACTACTATTGCTGCAGTTATGTATAGTAATTAAGAATTTTTGCTATGTTTCAAACCTAACACACATTCAAGAATAACTTCAATTATGACATTATGACAATATAGCAATACAACATTACAGTAGATAATATTTATGACTTTTAGATGTTGTGTTATATTTAATTCTAATATCTAGTAAAATGGTATAATATCATAATTCAATAATTCTATTACCAACTATAGTTCTAATCTTACATTTACATACAACACATATATAATTACATTAAAAATATTTTGAACTTGTAGGTTAATAACATAATTGTTAGTGTTTCTGAGTCTTAATTACAAGATTATGAGTTTGAGTTTAAAGAGTAATAATAATTCTATCAGAACCACAATTGAAAAAAAGATTTGCAAAGTTTTTTTTTTTAATATTAAGATAAGGTTATTTTTTTTAGTCTTTATTAGTATATTTGTTATAGCTAGTACAAATCTATTTATATATTATTTATTACTATATATCTATTTAGACATATTTATCTGTGATCTAAACCTATTAGAGTTTTGTATTGTGGCTTACTCACATCTAATATGTATTTTTGTAATTGTTGATGCTGTTGTTTAGTATCAAGTAGGAGAGAGCTATCAATATCTATATTTGTAATATTAGTAGTTGTGTTGTTTGCTATATCTTCAATAGTAGGAATTAAAAGCTTAAGTTCTGAAATAAGTAGATTGTTATTATGATATATATTTAGAGATTGTTTAAATTCATAAAATAGAAATACATGTAAGAGCCATTGTTCTAGGTTGATAATGGGTTGTGTTTCAGATTCAGATTAAATATCAAGATAAAATTTATAACAAGGTTTGTTATTTAAAAATTCAGTATTGATAACTAGATAATATCTATTATTAATAACTTTATAATTAATAGATTGATTGCATTTAGAACAAATATATTTGTAACAATACTATAATTTCTCTATAATTTTTTTTATTATTATTTTTTAAGTCTTTTCTTAATTACATGCTAATTACTATAATTAATTTAAC